TTAAAACGCATATGGTGCAGGCCTCAAGCTGACATTCTCGCGACCTCGCTCCCACTCGGAGACTACCACAGTCCCTATATTCACAGCAGTTGGGATAATGGCCACAGCTTCATCCAGTCCACTTTTGCTGCTGATGACGAGGATTATAAACAGAAAGAAAGGCGGAATTGCGATGAGTCGCGGTCGCCTAGGGTTGAGGAGAAGTAAGTATGACAGCGACCCGAGAGAGGCAGAGAACATTGAAACATTTAATACTCGTGCCACGCCCCCACTTATATGGAAGGATTCGTTCCTCACCAACCATAAGTTGGTGCTACACACCTTTTCCGAACGAATCCTTCCATATAAGTGGGGGCGTGGCACGAGTAGTGGGATGGGGCAGGGTACAGGAGTACATGCATGATGTCCTGAAGTACCTAGGTATGTATCTCGGGGCGTTTGTGAATTTGGGGCCTGTTTGGTGGGTCGGTTCTTAACTCACCTGGCGATTATATCCAAATCCGTCAGCGCTAACGATACTCCAGAGGCTAGCCAGACCATATAAGAGCTGCGTGTGTTAAGTGGATTTTGTCAGTATAATGCATTCTGTTATATTACAATTGCAATTTTTAGTTTTATGGGCGAGGATACAGTTGCAAGTGTACGTGAAATAGATTCAGTATCACTGATACGAGCGATTCCTCTGAACGCCAATAAAACACAATGGAAATTGCTCTCACCCGGCTGATGCGAGTCCTGCCCACTGTGTTCGATCTTGATGGGCCGAGGCAAGGAGGACAAGCTGGCTAGATGACCAGGCCATTATACGGAGAAGTGTCCCAATGCAGGGGTAAGTCATGACTTTAACGACTAAGAGTCACAAGGGCAGCTTAGCTAATAACGGAGGTTCGAGTGGCTGTGCGGAAAGGTCTTTGCTTTGGTGGATAAAGGGGAAGTTGGGACAAAAAGATGCCGGTGCACAGCGCAAGTACATTATATAATAACGGTATTTGGCTGGGCGAAAGTACCAAATTTTGGAGGTGGCAGTGTAATCAGCCTCCCTGTGGTGAACATGGATCACCTCCCACTCATCCCATCTTGTCGAAACAGCTTACCTCCTTTCGACCAGTCAAAAGAAAGAAAAAAATTCTACGCTCTAGGAACGGCTAGCTTGTGACTTTTCATTGGCCAGGATTTATGGCTAAATGACCCAGAAGAAAAGAAAAAGATGTAAACGATCTCTACTTGCTGTAAAAGTGTTACCCAGTACCGTAAAGTGCCTATGGGTGGGGCGGCTGGCCTTCTGTATCAGGTTAGCCCTCCGTGAGTCGTGAGTTGCGGCTCACTCAAGAGTGCGATCCCCATCTTAATGTGTTGGCGCGTCTCGTTGCCAGTTGATATATAGGTGAGTACTTTGTACGTGCACGTAAAATACCTAGGTTGAAGACTAGGTAGGCAACTTCACAGGGTCAGATGGGGTATCATCGCAAAATTGGTTTGAAGGCTATACGCCGTCCAATAGCTGACCTCGCAAATTATAGGGAAAGAATGTTGATTCTTTTAACGTATCCAAAATGTTCAACTATCAGTTTACCATGACTTCACAGTGGTGAAGCAAGTCTACTTTAGAGATGGCATTCAAACGCATGTAAACCGGGCGCTTGCAACAGCCGCAAGGCAAGACACATGCTGCCAAGGTTAGTAAGCCGCAGAAATGTGATGGATTGTTGGTGCACTGTAATCAAGAAGCAGATGCGCAGGCCAAACTAATGCCTTCGTCTCGTTTTCGGTGGGTAAAAATTATGATTGATTTGCTGTGTGAACTGTGATTTGATCCGTCCTACCGATCTCTTCAGAGCCCGATTGTTGAAGTGTACAACCGAGGCCTTGACATTTTCTCCCCCTCAAGTTTGTTGAGGCGATGCTTAGGAAATAGAAAACTTGACTCGACTCGACTCAGTATAAAACATACCCGAAGTAATGTTATCATGAGACTGACGTGAACTGGAGCCTTACCATTGAAAACCCCCAATCCGTTGACCAAAGTCCCTATACACGAACTGCTGCATCATTTGAGGAACGGCATTGAATAGGCAAAACACTATTACAATACCTTGGATAGCATTATGATCTAGGGAGGAGCACGAGTAAGTAATATATCTCATGACCGAAGGTGCTGAACCTCGAATCTATGAACAAAATGTGTCCGCGTGTTTCTCAGATTCCCATCACCTGGCAGCTGAGAATCGCGGTAACATCAATGTGCTTGAAGAAACCGCTCTATCGATACACCCTTGAAGACGTCATTCACTCGGACCAGCCCTTGCTTGATTTTCAGCATTTAATCGTGAAGTTCTGCAAACCATTCTAGCCAATACATCTAAGTCTTTCAAGTGCTAGATTGCCATCGCATGTTTATTTGTTTCCGACGAACCTGTACCATAGTGTTAATGGACTGGATACAATATAAAAAGAATATGATGGAAACTTACCATGGGTCCAAGAGCCAACACTCCAGCGGTGAGAGCAACAACGGTGCCGATCAAGGTCACTTTGTTGAACCCCTTTCCGAGGACATCAAATGCCATGCTGGGAGTAACCCTCGTGCCGAAAACGTCAATGCCGTACCCGAAAACCAAGCTCGTACTTTCCAAGATGGCGGGCGCAGTAATGATCTTGTCGACACCAAGCACGTCGCGCTCGTGGGTGATCAACCATCTTGAATCCAGCTCAATGATGGGGGAGTATTTGGTTAGACCCTCCTCGGCTTCAGCCGGGACTGGGTCACGGCCAACCACCCGGCGTGGATCAAGTATCATACGTGGAATGGCAATTACACCGTGAATTTCTGGAGCGTATGCCAAAAGTTGGCGTGTAGCGATACCTTGCCTCGTTTGCGTCACAGCCAGAGAATTGATCGGGCCAGAAAGAACATATGTCTTGGAAACGACAGAAGGCACCACGGGGCCGCTCGGAGAATCAATGGGGTCGAGAGACGAGTAATCCACTGAATCACCGAGGGGGCCGCGATCATTGGCCAGCTCCGACTCGTAGAGATCAGTGACAACAAGTTGGAAGCCCTTCAGAGTTTGTGTTGATGATTCTCGAAGGGCATACTCGCCGAAATAAGAGCAGGCAAACCAGTTCTCTGCGATTGCGCATGAAACATCCTTTGCTGGATCAACACCCTCGAATGTCGATGTGGTGAGTATTTGACCAGAGACAGAGTCAACGAGAGAGATAGTCAGAGTGAAAGCAGACTCGTCCACAGCTGCAACTACAAGAGTATTGGGATTCAAGTACTTGTACTTGACACTTCGGTCGCCTAGAACCCGACCAATGGAGGCAATAGGGTCATGTAGCGATCTTGTTGCGACATTAACAATCTTCTGGCTTGGCTTGGTAGTGAAAAACCACGCTGGAACCTCAACGGCCTGCTCCCCCTTTGCCTCAAAGGTCTTGCCCTGAAGTTCGTTCGACGAGGTTTGAGTAACAACAACCTGCTTAGGAGCCCATTCGAGTGGCAGGTCGCCAATCTTGCCTCCAGTGCCTATGGGAAGCAACCAAGGACCAGCAGCACTGTCGACAAGCACAGCACTCTCGACTGGGGGCCAAAGTCCCGGGTTCATACTCTCGACAGTCTTGCCAGTGTCGGCTTTGACGATAATGTACTCGCCATTTGCGCCACGGACGGTCACAAAGCCCTTGCCGTCATCGGCATGGATAGCCCGGACATCCCAGGGCGTCGAGGACGGTGTCTCCTTGGCCGACTTGGACCAGACAATGCGGCCGTGGTTAGCAACATCGAGCCCATATAGCTTGCCGCGCTTCGTCGCCAGAACGACCAACTTGTTGAAGCCAAAAGTATCTCTCAGCAGAGATGAGGCGCTGCTCTGTAGAACCTCAGTCCCGAGGATACTGCTGAGCAGGCGACCAGGAATCGTCTGGAGGTAGGCGGGCAAGTACTGCAGGTCATTGATGTGACGCTTAACACGGTGAATGTAGGCCTCAATCGGGTTGCTGTGAGCTTCCGCGTCCAAAGTCTTGGCCAGGTCCTCGGATTCCGGAATCTCGGCCCACGTGGCAGCAACTACACCGCTTAGACCTTCGGGGCGAACCCAGCCAGCTTCGCCATTGCGAATCATAGCCCAATCATCAGAGTCCAGAACAATCGCTGATCTGACAGCAAAGTTGTCTTGTGACTTCTTGATCACCTCCGAGACGGCGTGGAGAGCCCCAGCATTCACGTCACCATCCCTGATGGGCCATCGACCCAAGACACCGTGGGAAAGCGAGGAAGTGATGCTGACCTCGTCAGAGCTCACGCGGGTAAAGTAAACATTTGAACCAGTAGTGCTGGTCGAGAAGGCGCTCTGTCCATCCAGGAGGGGCAATTCGTAGGCCTTGGTAACAGCATTAGTCTTGAGATCGACGTGGTAGACATCAGCCTTGTTGGCGAGCTTGGTCCGGCTCTGCACCAAGAAATGAGGCAGAGACTGGACGTGGTGAGGCGCATGTATCTCCACGGATGTAGTTTCGGGGAGCAGTGGAAATTCGACCTTGCTCTTGGTGCCCAGGACATTGATCTTGAGCTTTGTCAGAGCATTGTCTGTCCAGGCGACAATGGGCGCAGCTGAGTTGGCACCAACAAACATGACATCCTCCTCCTTCTGGACCTCGCCCTTGGTGCCAATGCTAATGTCGTCGAGTCGCTTTCCGGTCAACGGATCGAGCACGGCGACTTTCAAACTGTACGACAGCAAAGATCCGTGCAGGCTGACGACAAAGATCTTTTCAGAGTCGGTGCTGACTTGTAGCGGAATGTCATCGGTGACAGTCTTGAATTCCCATATCACTCGCCCTTCGCTTCCGTGAATCCTTCTGGCCACTGTTGCGCCCTCCTCTTGATGTAAAACCAAAACGTCCTTTCGATCGTTGGCTGCAAGCTCCAGAACCTCGAGGTCCTTGGCCGTGCCCGTGAAATCCAATGACCATGCATTGCGACCCGTCAAGGCATCCCACGACTGAACGGAGCTTCCCAGAGCGCTGGCGACCCAGTTGGCATCCTCGGCCGCTCTTAGGTTGCCGCGCGCCTCCGTAGTGCTGTTGAGGAGCTGTCTCCAGACCACTGCGCCGCTGCTGGGGTTTACGGCGCCGAGGACACCGAGGTCGCTCAATGTGTAGAGAAGGCTAGCTTTCTCGTCTGGCCTTGGGCGGTGGAAGAAGGTGGTTTCGCGTAGCGGGACTCCGAGGAGCTCGTGGTGATAATCTATGTGGTTGACCTCATCTTGAAAGACGGCTCGTACCGCAGCGGGCAAAGCCAGCAGTACGGGCAGGTGGCGAGCCGAAATGTGCATTGTCGGAATTGGGAGCTAGTCCCGTTGGTGGACGTTCAATAAGCGACCATGTGAGGTTGATGGATGGTTGATTCGAGGCAATTTGCACGTGTGCGACGGTATTGCAACCTGGGGATAGCTGTGTGAGTGTATCGTGGTTCCAGGCTATGAGACAGTTGTGGATAGGCGTCGGCGCCGCGTTGTCTTTGAGAGCTGCGAACGTCAGCTAAGGTGGCAGCACTCCAGATGCCAGTCCAACAAGACGAAAGCTCATCCTAGCTCGTGGGCCCGTGCTTCACTCACCAACGCTACAGTGCTAGGGCCGTGCATTTCATGGCATCAACACGGCCTAATGGGAAATAGCATCGGCCACTGCCATTTTTGTGTTGAAGACCAAGCCAAACCAAAAAAAAAAAANAAAAAGAAGAGAGAGAGAGAGAGAAG